TCTCAGTGAGTATAGTATAGTCTAGTAGAAGAATCTTTCCCCTGGAGTGCAAGCTGTTCATATCACACAAAACAATCTCAAAACAATCAAGTTTGGTATAGTTATAAGTTATCTAAATTCTCTGGAGCTTTGCATTTGACTCAGTTAATGTTCATTTCTGATTAAAATCGTATTTGCAAAGTAATGAAACTGGGCTTTAGCCTGGAATGTCTGACTTCCAGAAATGCTTCCTCCTCTAGGTGAAGCTTGTGCAGCAAGTAGGTAAATCTTTATGAATTTAATATTAACTGCTTTTACTTTTTTGCCTTTTTTATTTTTTAAAAAATTTTTTATTTGTTCTAGGCACAGAGAACTTGCATTTGGTATTCTCCTACTCTGTCTGGGTGCTGAGAGATTTTCCAGAAGATGGGCTGAAGGTAAGTGTGCTGAAACAGGTGGCTTGCTGGTGAGCATTACTGAAGTGTATGAAAAGAGGAGAACAGATATTCTATAATATAGTATATAAGCTGTAATATTTTTTTAAAAATCTGAGTCCAGTTATTAAGTCCAGATTTAAAAATTGTTCCATTAATAATTTTTGGCAGATATTTACAGAAGACCTCCCTGAAGTGGAAGCTTTGCCACGAGACAAAGTGCTCAGTTTCTTGAAGGAAAATTTTAAGAGCTTGGCTATTCCTTATCTGGTAAGAATTCAATCTGTAACAATGCATTTTCTTTGGCACAGTGTGGTGCGTGTATGACTTTAGTTATCCTGGTTTTGGAGTCTGATGCCGTCAAATAATTAAAAGGAAGCAGAGTGAGACTCAAAAATATGAAATCCTGAAGTCAGGCTTGGTCAAAAAGGAAGACTGAAACTGTTACTTATAACAAATCACATTCTAATGGAAGTATCTGTAATTCAAACTCAACATGTATTTACAGGAACACATCATTCATGTCTGGGAAGAAACTGGTGCAGATTTTCACAACTGTCTCATCCAGCTGTACTGTGAGAAGGTGCAGGGCTTAATGAAAGAATATCTCAGTTCTTTCCCTGCAGGTATGCTTGCTTAGCCTCTTCTGGTGGGGAGGCTAGGGGGATGGCACAGCACAGGGTAGGCTTCAAAGCTGTAAACTTTCACTGTTCGTATCCAGATGTTATCTCAAGCAATAACAGAATTGTAAGTATAAAAGTTACAAGTTTATAGGGGAATCTAATTTCTGGTATTACTAGAAATCTTGGGGGATCAAATGACACTTTCTTCCTGAGGGAATGGTAGCTACTGTTCTCCAAATCCTTGGTATTAAAGGTGGGGGAAGGGTCTTGAATAATTTTATCTGTTCTAGTCTCTCCCTTAATTTGTTCTAGGGAGTTAAGGTAATTTAACAGATGCACCTGCTTCTCAGTCTGTACTATAGCTTTTGGTTCCTCCTCATAATGATCCATTTTTGTTATCCTCATCCTAACTTAAGTTCTTTTTTCTTATGTCTAGATAAAACACCAGTGCCTGCAGGGGAGGAAGGAGGAGACCTGGGAGAGTACCGGAAAAAGCTGCTGCTTTTTCTGGAGAAGTCTAGCTACTATGAACCTGGCCGACTTATTAGTGACTTCCCCTTCGATGGTGAGTTGGGTTTCTATGGGCTAGCTGAAGCCTAATTGTTCCATTGGAAAGTGAAAATTCCTAATTTATTGTAGAGCAATGTTAACAAAAGATAGAAGATGGGTAGACCTGAGTTATATGCCACTGGTGTGCACGCTGACTCTGACAGGCACAACCAGGTCTTTCCCAATCTCTGTGGGTTTCTTGGTACTGCTGGTTTAAGACTGGGTAGTATCTCTCATCGCTCTTAAATGTTAGTCCTAACTTTCAGATAAGCCTGAATTCATCAACAGATTCGAGGTTTGTACTATGCCTAGTGTCAAATAGGCATTTAGTCACAGTGTAACTGTAACTTATTCTCAATCTGTAGTTTATAGTTCCTTCTGTTAGTCTGGAATTTATGTCCATTTAGTCACAGTGTAACTGTAACTTAATCTGTAGTTTATAGTTCTTTCTGTTAGTCTGGAACTTATGTTATTTCTTCATGTAGCTGTTGACTAATCTTTTCATGCTGTCGCTAGGTCTCCTAGAAGAACGTGCTCTGCTCTTGGGTCGTATGGGAAAACATGAGCAAGCTCTCTTTATTTATGTCCATATTTTGAAGGACACCAAAATGGCTGAAAAGTAAGGGTCTCTCTGTTTTTCACAAGGCTTAGTATGCTCACTGCCCTGTGGATAGGCGATGTTGTAAAATATTGCTGTGTTTAGAGCAAGAACCCTGTAAGCTTTTGCAATCCCCTGGGTTTCCAAACTTCTTGATTTGAGCTCTTCCAGCTATGTGCATTACAGATAATGTTACAGTCCCTTTGAGGTTGACCTTTCCATAGTCTTCTGACATTATGCCTCAGTCTAGAGCAATTTTAGTGTCACTGATGTTCTTTGGTGCACTGATCCTGAGCTTCACAACTTGTGTTTGTTTTGCTTCCCTTCCTTTTGAGAGGCATTCACTAGACAAGTGATAAAAAGTTAAGCTCCTGGAGTTAGCATTATTCTCTTTACTTACAGCCATGACTCTTTGCTAGATGTTTTGTGTCAAGAGAACCTTCAGGACAAATCTAAAAGTACCTGAGTGAGAATATAATTAACCAATACTGACTGAATTGACCGAATACTGTTCAGTCTAGCTATTTGTGCAGATGTTTTCAGGAAATGCCTGCTGAGAACATTTGATCCAGAATAAGCAGTGTAAACTAGTGAATATCTTTTTTTTATGATTCAGAATTACTCTACAGTAATTATAATTATGTTTATCTACACATACTTCAGTATGTTTGGAGAACAACCTTTTTAACTCTCTGCAACTGAATAAAATAAGGGTGTTGAGCATTTTGGAAGTTGATTGGGAGTGGGACACTTCATAAAACTTCCCTTTTCTAAAGAACATTGTGATGCAGAGTGAATAGCATCATTTCGTTATGTGATCTAGGCTCACTGATTTGTATGTAAGGCCATCTCAACAGTCTAAGCGTTAACATATCAATTTCTCTCAATGTGAGTCACTGGTTTCCAAAGCTTTCCTTAAGTTTAGTTGTTTCTTCTCTGTTCTAGCTACTGCCATAAACATTATGACAGGAACAAAGATGGCAACAAAGATGTAAGTAGCTTTGTAGACTTCTTCATTTAGGAGGATGTGTCTGTTAGACTGTTTATGCCATGCTAGGGAGTTTAATGTTTATACTTTAAACATTAAAACATGTACATGTGTAGATTTCTCAGAACTACTGCAGATGGACAGGAATCTCTGTATAAGCACTTGGAATTTAGGATTTTTTAGCTTTAACAGATCTTAATTTTTTGAGTGTTTGTTTGGTGAGTCACTGGCATTGAGCATAAAGTTTTTGAAGCCGAAGTTTTAATAGCATCCCAAAGAAGCTAAAATACTATGGTATTCTTATTCCAGTTACATCCATAGAAAAACCAATGGTAAAAAAGTGATGTGTTGGTTTCTAAAGATAAATGAGTTCAAACAGGTGTGGGAGGTGGATTAAAAGATAATACTTTTATGGAAAAACTTTAGTGTAGAATGCAAGTCTTGAAAAATACTAAAGCTGTTCAAGGGCCGTTTGTTTTGTTGTTATTTTAAGGTTAAAAAAAAAAAAAAAGCTTAATTGAACAGTTTAGAATTGTGAATGACTAACCTTACTGGTACCATTGTTATCTTTTCCTAACACCATCAGTTGTGGATGAATGTGCTGATTTCAGAATCTTTCCTTTCACAGGTCTATCTGTCTCTGCTCCGGATGTATCTCTCCCCACCTAGTGTTCATTGCCTGGGGCCAATCAAGATGGAAGTGTTGGAGCCTCAGGCCAACCTGCAGGCTGCACTGCAGGTTTTGGAGCTACATCACAGCAAACTGGATACCACTAAGGTAAGGAATACTTGGAAGAACTCTGTTCTTTGTAGACACAAAGGCCTCTGGAGTAGGCAAGTGAACAGATTATGACAGCATCAAGCTAAATGTGGCAATTTGTTCTCTTTTTTGTCCTCCGCTATTTTCCTGATGAAGTATATTTTGTTTTAGGCGATAAATCTCCTTCCAGCCAACACGCAGATTAGTGAGATTCGAATCTTCCTAGAGAAGGTCCTTGAGGAAAATGCCCAGAAGAAAAGATTTAATCAAGTCCTCAAGAATCTTCTCCATGCTGAGTTTCTGAGGGTAAGTGCCCATCCCGTCATTTATTGAAATGGTGTATTAAAATTGATGGTAAACAGTTACGTAACCTGTATTCTTTATTCGGTGTGCATACTTTAGATGGTGCTGTAGAGCACATCTTCTCATTTCAGGTGCACTAAGTAGACTAAAAATCCCCTTTTCAGGAGAGGCAAGTGCATTTTAGTCTGGATAAAGTGTGTACTTTTGCAGTGAATCTTTGGGTTCGCTGTGCTCCAGTGTGCATTGCAGCATAGTCTTAGAGAGCACAGGCTGTATTTATTCCAATTAAAATACACCAAATACTTTTCTACCATTAAGGGATGTTCTGCTGAAATATTGAAGTGCTGTAGTCTCTGGATCAGACTAGTCCAAAGTAAAACCCTGGCATACGTAGTGTAGATACTGGGTCCTCAGTATCATCTACTCTGCAGGCCTGTTTTTGTTGTGCTGCCCAATGTGCTAATGTAGATGTAGCCAATGAAAACTAAATATTGAGGCGGGTTGAGGCTTTACTGGAGTAGAATTGCTTTTTTGAGATGTGCGTTTTTTTTTGTTTGTTTGTTTTTTTAATTCTTACAGGTCCAAGAGGAACGGATCTTACATCACCAAGTGAAGTGCATTATTACAGAGGAGAAGGTGTGCACTGTATGCAAAAAGAAGATTGGTAACAGGTGAGCACATATGTCTTGGTTTGGGGTGAAAAAAGCCAAATATGAATTTGGTAGGCTTATGCAAAGTAAATGTTGCGCAAATCAGGACAGAACAGCACCATGAAGGTAGTGCTTGAGAGTCTGAATTAAAAAATTATATTACTCACCTGACTAATGGGGGAAACACTAATGCTTCAGTCACTGAAGTTTATTGCAAGAGTTTCATCCTGCTTTCAACACAGCAAAATAAAACCTTTTCAGAAGCTGCTAAAATGACTTGCTTCAAAACCTTAGAAGGCAGAAAGTCACTTCTTGCTTTGTATTTGGAAAATTTTGTAAAAGCACTGCCTAGTTCTTCTATTTTATGTTATCCTTAGTTCTAAATAAGAATCTCAACTTGAGATGCATGCATGATGGTGTCTTGGTTGTCTAGGTGATTTTCACGTTGCCTAATAATCTTAGGACATCTAAAAGTAGAACTGATTGGCTTGATGTCTGGATCCCTGTAACTTTTTTCCTCTATTATCCCTAGTAAGCAACAACAGGCTTGAATAGTATGCAAATCTTTCTACATTTCTTTTCTTTCTCATTTATTGAACTCCAATGAATTGTGATTTCTCTTTTCCTGTTGATAATTGACCTTTGTGAGATATCAATTGCTTTCCCCATCCTAGGGGGATCTTTTTTCTTTTAGTTCTTTTTTCAAGTTGTTTTAACGAACACAGGTCTCTATTATGGCTGTGTGTATTCAAGTTTTTGCTGTTAGTTTGTAGTATCAGAATTTCTTTTTTTCTTATGTATGATTTTTCTAATGCTGTGAAGATCAGTGAGGCTTTAAAGGGCAGCCATGTCAGTATGTCACAGTTACAGTCTTTAAAGGTTATTAGTAGCAACTTTCAAATAAAATGTGCCCATAGAAATGACAATACATGTCTACACACTCAGATTTTAGTTCTTTCAATAAAATACGCAGGCTGAAATTTAAACAGGAAGATGTTGCTTTGATATAGGCTTCTCTTTTTATTGTAACACTACTGAGATGTTATTGTTTGAAGAGGGTGAGTGGTTCACTTGCATTGAAAGTTGATTTTGTGTTCTCTTCTCTTTATAGTGCGTTTGCCCGATACCCGAATGCAATAGTTGTGCATTATTTCTGCTCTAAAGAAGTCAACACGGTGGACACCTGACCTTGTTGCCAAGGTCAATAATTACAACATTTATAAGAAATTAAGAAGTGAAGACTTCAGAAGCTGATGCCTCTGAGATTTTTGAGGCTTGTTGCTAGGTTGTCCTACATGGGCTGGAAATCATTTGTATCTGTGGACTGGCTATACTTACCAGCTGGCAATATTGACTTAAGAGAAAATGACTTTTTTAAACCATGTCATTACAATACTCGCAGTTGCATCAAACCTCTCAACCCTCAGATGCAGAAGAACAGGAACTGACCAGCAGTGAGCTCTTATTGCACTCCAACCTTGCAAATGAGTTGTCAGACAACTGTAAGGTGTTTACTAGAAGTCACGTTGTACTAAAGCCTTTCTTTTAAGGTTTAAACAACAACAACAACAAAGTTATTTTGCCTTGTGTGTAAATAGTTCTAACATGCTTCAAAAAGAAAAGTTCTTGAAAGTCTTTGCAGCTTTGTTGACATTACATGGAGATAGATCACCAGGTAGTAGAGGTGGAGAAGGCTACTCCGCTTGTTCCTAGAATTTGTAAACTTAATTTTAGCTTCATCTCAGTAAGGGAAATATCTAATTGCTGGCCAAAGGAACACTTACTGATGTTCAGTGTTACCACCTGACCTTCTGATAAGCAGATCAGGCTGCTTCTGCAGAGCCAGGCAAACAGGAGGTGACACTGGTAAGCATTACACTTCTTTCTCTTCAGTTTGACAGCTGTAAATAAAACTAACTTGTGTGCTGTTTGCACTGAATACGGTCACTCTTAATATGAGTGGAAGCTCAAAGACTATTCTAAGCAGTAGATTATGCCTGCAATCATACCAAAAAGAAAAGAACCTGTAAGCAGCTTCTGAAGGGACTGAAATAACTATTGCTTGAGCTTCTAGACTATACTTGAGATGTATGTGTATATAAAGTTCTTCAGTCTCTGGTTCACCTTCCAACATTGAATTAATAAAATCCATACTATTTCAATGTCTCTATTTTAAATGCTTTAGAACATCCCTGTTCTGCTCAGGCTGGTACTGTTCTTAAACTACAATTGGGCCAGAAGTCTTTAACTACAAAAACTGGATTGTAGCATACTCCTTATAGGTTGTAATATTTTTGTCTAATTTATTTTTCCACAAGCTAATCTATAGCAAATTGGTATTAGGGATATTAAAATGTTTAGCTGGTGCAGAAAGTATCTAATCAGCAGTTATGGAAGGCAACAGTAGCAAATAGTCCAGTAAACTGGATCTTGGATGCCCCTCCTCCTAGCCTAGCAATACTTGCTAGTAATATGTAACTATTAAGTAGTAGAGCACATGGCATGTAACTACCAGATACCACTTCCTAGTTACCAAGTAAAAAAAAATAAAGCCTGTCTGCCAAAGGTGAAATGGGATCTCATAACTTTGCAGTTCACTTCAGCCTTTGTTGCATAGCACTTTTTAAGGGACAGATCTGCTGTAGGCAGACAAGGATCCTCATTTACCTTTGTTACCAGAGGCAGACTGGGCAAACCTCAGCTGTACAGTGTGTCAGCTCCACTCCTGCTAATGCTTGCCCCATTGCTTGTGCATGCTTTCCCTTCCACATGTATTTATATGTGTTGCTATATGCCATGCATCCTTATGGATTCCTTGGTCTAGAATTTTGCTACTTTTGTACTTGGGTGTCCGGGCAGTGCTGCTGTCCTCTTTCTGCAGAGGCTGGGTAGAGGGAGTCTACGGTGTTAATATTTTTAACCTTGTATTTCTTCTATTTGAAGAAGAGAGCCTAAAAAAACACTTGTATTCAATTTGCACATTGTGTATAGATCTTTATATACTAGTTTAGGTACGGAGGGAAGGTGATTTGGGAGAGTTGTGTTTACAGATCATTGAGAAAGAAAGAAGGGTATTTATCAAGGCCCTATATTCTTTATATACAGATATAACAGTATTTGATTTTTTTTCTCATCTGTCTTGCATTTAGTACTGTAAGTTGAATTTTTATTTACCTTCATTATTTGTGCTACCAGGAAAACTGTAGTCACATGTGAGGACCTTCGTTGTACTCTTCTTTCACAGTTAAGATTGTGCCTCTGTTCACCTTCATTGCATACCTTTTGCAGAGATATGGTTTGTGCTGTAACTTCTCTTTCTTACAATGTGGTTTGGATTTACTAACAACACGGCAGGTTTGTCTGAAGCAATATATTGTAATAAATATTGTGAACCAGTGTCTGTTTCAATGATTGTGCAGTTAAGCTTCTCTTTTTTTTTTCTTTTTTTTTTTTGAGTGTATTAATTCTCACATTCTCTTGGAACTCAGAGACTTGATGCAGGGTTTTCCAGGATACCCCCTGCTTTAATCTGTTAATTGCACTGAAACCATACCTTATGGCAGCTGTTACCACTTCTGAACTTTTTTTATGCTTGTGGATGCTCCCCAAATCCTATTTACACTTTTGCATTGTTTTTTTGAATAATGCCTTTGGAAGTCTTGCACCATTAAATAAGTATTTGCTAGAGGACATTTTCTAGTGATTTTTTTCCCCTCTTTTGAGTGATGGTATTGTATTTCCGGAGGGTTTTTTGTTGTTTTGTTTCTTTCTTTTTTTGGCTGCAGGCTTCCTTTACTCTGTATGATAAAATTAGGAAATGTTTAGGCTTCCAGGGTTACAACTGGATGAGTTGCAGGTTGGTGATAAAGATGTTCCTTTACCATTCTATAGAAATGGAAAGTAGAATTGGCGTTTCTGGAAGCGAAAGTGTGTAGTGTGTGTGTGTGTGTGGTTTGTTTTTGTTTCTTTTGTCTCTGCCAGACAATTGATTACACTGATAGTTCTGGAGAAAACCAACCCACACTTGAGAGTATCCCCTGCCCCATGCCCTGAGAGTGTCCTTTGGAATCCTGGTCTCTTCTAATCATACAGGCACAGATTGATGTGCCTCAGCTCTCCTCAGTGCTGCTAGTAGGAGCAAAACAGATCCCTTGCAATACCTGTGCACATTCGGTGGATAACAAAATAGTATATTTTTTTATTTGAAAATTAAATTTTTGAGTTTTTTGCTATCCTCCTCTTCCACCAGAAGAGCCACTTAGAAGTAATGTGCAATCATTCTGCTATGATGGAAACTGCTAACTGAAAGTCTTTTATTTCCCCAGAGCACAGGGATCCCATCTCTGGTAGCTGAAGCCGATGTCACTCCCTCACTTGAAAGCTGCATCAATTTGTTTATAAATTGCTAACTGACTTTGATATGGCCCCTATTCTGAAAGTGAATGATAGGGGAAGCATCCAATGGTGGGAGTTTTCTCTGAACGTTTCCTGTCGACATTGATGCTGATTCATCTCCTGCCCTTTGCTACTGAAGAGCTTGTTTATCTGAGCTGCCAGACGCGTGTTGGTTGGCAGCATCCGCTGGACTGGTTTGAGTAGAAGTGTCAGTGACTGATGCTGCTCATAACCTGTTCCCCAAGGACTCCTAACGTTGCAAAGTTCTGTCAAGCTGCGCACTGCCACTGTTTACTTGGTGTGTGATCTGCTGATTATGAAACAATTAAGTACATGTCTTAAAGAGCTTTCAGTCACCTTGAGAAAAGAGCTACTGTTGACGTAAGATCCCTTTATTGAGATGCACTCGGAGAAGGCAGAGAACCTGAGGAGGAGGCGGGTAAGCCTGATAAGCTCTCAAAAGATGAAATACAGGTTTAGAATACTACCTCTGATAATCTGTTAGAATAAGTGTCATGTTAGCTCTCTATGTGGGGCTGCCTTACTTTTCCTAAAAGGCAGTGGTCTCCATGACCAACACTACACAACGAGTAGAACATGTATTACATGTATTAGCAAATTGGCAGAATCATAAGTGTGATTAATGTCATGTGGAAATGCAGAGAAGTTGCTTTTTCAACACTTGTTTCCATCTTTGCTTTTCCATTTTAAGAGTGAGCTTTTTGTCAGTTGCTGGCTGTTGTCTAAATGGCATTGTACTTGCTTGTCCCCTGTTTGGTGACTGCAAGCATGAAAATCTAAGAACTATTACTGACCTGATTACATTTTCCTGGATGTCTGTTCCTGCATTTCTATTATTTTTTCTTGAATTCTAATCTAGTGACTGACAGTAATGACAGGAAATGATTAGTGATTAGGACCATGTTGAGGATGTGTCACGTTCTTATGTCTGTGATGGTGACATGCTGCTGGACAGCTCTCATACATCTCTTACTGTTTTCTAGTTGTTTCAACGGTTGATTTTTTCTCTTTTTTGGTCCGCTTGTTTAGTTTCTTCAAAAAAGCCCCAGAAAACCAGCTGTTAACAAATTGATCCCAGGAAACAGTTTCCTCCTTAGCAGTTTCTCCTAAATCAGAGGTCCATAAAAATCTGCCCTGTCCACTGCACAATTTCTCAAGAGCACTTTCTTCACAGAAATGAGAGGGATTTGGGCACTCTGCCTCAGCAGTGAGAGGGTCGTTACTTCCTGATGCGTCTTACTGCAGACTGGGTCTGGTCCCAGGTGGATCTGGTTCCGGGTTCTCCTGAATTGCTGCTGTCAGTGACGAGCTCAGCTTTGCCTCAGGCCTGCTAGATGGGGGTCTCTCTATTTAGAAAAGTTCTTCTGGGCTGTGCTGACACTCAGAAGGGATGTGATACGGTCCAAGTCCTCAAGCACGGTGCTGGAGCCCTGGCAGAGCATCTGCTCTGAGGGTTTTGAGGCTGCGTGTTAATGGCAGCGCGGTGCTCTCCCCGCGCAGGGCGTCCTCGCTCCGCGCTGCTTTGCCGCCCTCACCTTCCGCGGGTACCTGTGGCGCGGCCGCGCGGGGCAGTTTGGCGAGTGCAGGCCACACCTCCGCCTCTCCCCGCAGAAGCCGCAGCGCTACCGGGAGCAGCCTGTCCCGGGAGCCCGAAGCCACAGCCTGTACCGGGAGGCCGGCGCGGCCGCTGCTCCGGGACACTGTCTATCTTGGCTGCTCCTCTGTCCAGCTTTCCCAGGTCCTTTCCTCCCATGCTCCATGAGTTGCTGCGAGGCCCGGTGCCACCCCGAGTGCTGCCTTTGCTGGCCGCTGTGCTCTTCCAAAGGAAGGAGAGGAGGGAGACGGGCTTCTTCCACCAGCGGGTAAGGTGAACCGTGGCACTTGCTGCGGGACCGCATTCCTTAGCGCTCTGCTTGCCAGCAGCTTCCTCCTGCCGCGTGTGTGGAAA